AGAAAAAGAAAGAAAAGGGATTGTGTGTGTGTGTGTGTGTGTGTGTGTGTGTTACAAGAGAAATAAATAAAAGGAATAAAGATAGGAAATGAAGAAGTCAAATTATCATGATTTGCAGATGACATGGCCCTCTACATACAGGACCCAAAAAACTCCTTGAATAACCAAATTCAGTACCAAAGCAGGATACAAAGCCAATACGAAAAATCAATAGTGTTCCTGTACACCAATAATAAACTCATCAATAAAGAAATGTATTAAGAAATAGCATTAAGAAAAATTAGATACCCAGAAATTAACCTAACCAAGGAAGGGAAAAACTCTACAATGAAAAATACAGTGCTCTTAAAAAGGAGATTGAAGAGTACATCAGAAAATGGAAAGATAATCCCTTATTTCTGGAAAGGGAGAACAAATATAGTGGTACCTTGGTTCACAAACAATTCTTTCCAAGATTCTGGTTGCAGAATTTGTTCCATGGTTCTGTCATTCAAATGCAACTGTATAGTCAAAATGGCCATACTTCCAAAACTGATACACAGATTTAACACAGTCCCAATCATAATATCAATGGCATTCCTCACAGAACTAAACAATCCTAAAATGCATATGTAAACCAGAAGAGACCTAGAATAGCAAAAGCAATCCTGGGCAACAAGAGCAGGCAGGAGGAATCATATTCCAGACTACAAATTAACCAACGAAAACAGTCATAAAGCAGCATAGATTGCAAAAACAAACAACAACAAAATAGACCTATGGATCAATGGAACAGATGATGCATGAACAACTTTAAGCACTGTCAGCTACCCGATCTTTGACAAAGGGATGAAAAATTTATCCTTGAAGTAAGATAGGATTTTGAACATCTTGTGCTGGGAAAACTGGCTACTCACATGCAGAAGATTGAACCTAGACCAGTGGTGGCAAAACTATAGTGCGCATGTCACACCCAGGACCCAGAGCCTTCTCTGTTGGTGCGTGAGCAAGCCAAGTCGCCCCAGCAGCCAAGTGTCTGAGTTTAAAGGCAGTGTTGGCACTTACTTTGCAATAAATAAGTGGGCTCTGGGTTGCAGTTTGCACATGCATGCTCTAAAATGTTTGCCATTGCTGATCTAAACCATCTCTCTCACCATTTACTAAGCTAAAATAAAAATGGATCCAAGATCTAAATATTGAAACAGAAATAATCTGTTAGAAGATAAAATAGGTAAAATTCTTGAAAACTCATTAGGCAAGGACTTTCTGAACAGAACCCCAACTGCACAAGAGATAACACTGAAAATCACCAAATGGAATTGTATCAAATCAGAAAGCTTCTGTGCAGCAAAGGAAACATCCAACAGAGTACAGAGATAATGTACAGAATAGGAAAAATTTTGCCAAGTTTACCCTGCACAGAAGACTAATATCTAGAATATATAAAGAATTTTTAAAAATAGACTCCCCAAAATAAAAGACCCAATTTTAAAAATAGGCAACTGCAGGGCCAGGGATTTAGCTCAGCAGTTCTGCCACCTGCCTTGCAAGCGCAAGGACCAGGGTTCAATCCCCGGTACCACCCCCAAAAAAGTAGGCAGTAAAATAGGCGACTGAAATTGAACAAGAAGAAATACAAATGGCCAAAAATACATGAAAAAATGTTCAATAGTTCTAGCCATTAAAGAAACACAAATTAAACCCTGAGATTCCCTCTTACTCCAGAAAGATGGAGATGGTGTCAGTTGATATTCATAGACCTGATAGTTATACAGCCCCTGAACTGCGGAAGGCATACTCTTTTTTTAAATGTACGTGGAATATTCACCAGGTAAGGAACATCCTGGACTGCGAAATGAGTCTCAATACATTTCACAGGACAGATATATTAGAGCACCTTCTTTGTCCACAACAGACTCAAATGTGAAATAACTATATCTAGAGAAACAAAAGGGACCTTAAGTATGTGGGAATTAACACTTCAAACAAATGGGTGGGAGGCAAAAATAATTCAGAAGTTAAAAACTATCTTCAGCTGGATGAAAACGCTCACCGTATCAAAAGCAGTAGAATGCAGCTAAAGCAATGATCGGAGCAACTCAGCTTTAAGCGGATAAATTTAAAGTCAAAAAGTCCTCGATTGATAATCTCTAAACAATCAGAAAAAGAAGAAAATCAAACGCTAAATGAGTAATGAAGAACAATAAACTAGAAAGAGAAAATAAATGGAACCAAACTATGGCTTTTTGAAAAGATTTTAAACACTGGCAAACTTCTGATAAGTCAGAAAAAAACTACCACTAGCAATAATGCCTAAACCAAGACCTCCAGAGGAGGAAACAAATATTAGTCTTTCAAAGAGACCTGTATGACCCACAGGTTGTGGTGAACTCAGAAAGAATTCTGTAGCTGAAGGAAACACCTGTGTGGCAATGAGTTTGATTCCGGGAGCAATAGTAGGGGAAGCTTCTGGGGAGCACCTTCTGGGCCAACGAGGTTAGGTGTTCGCCCCGCCCCCCCTGAGCCCCGCCCCTTCCCTCGCGCCCCGCCTCTAACCCCGGGTCTCGCGCG